CGTCAAAGAATTTTGTACTGAATGAGCAGAGCCACGTGAACGAGAGCTCAATTGAAGGACAAATTCCTTGATGGTTCCTGGTTTCGTTTTACGTTTGAGTCACTCGGCTTGGCAGGAGGTCTCCAAACAACAACGATTCCGATCGAGTTGAGTCAGGGTCTCTTAGATTCCTTCAACCTTCCTCTGACCTACGCTTCTATCCTCTCAGCGAAATGCTGGCTGGACGCACCCTACATGGGAACACATCCCCATCCGACCTTTTCCATGTGGTATGACGCGGTGGGTTCATGCAGCAGTGAGCATAAAGAATTTTTCGATATCTTTATTCCGTGACACGCATGGTTAGCAGAGGATGTCAAGGCATATTTCGTGGATCTCGAAGGATTGAACAAAAGCGTTTTAAAGAACGGCGTACAAGCTTATGATTAGAGGTTCCGTCAGTTACTTGTTCTTCCCATCCACCACATTACTCCCTCTCAATTCTCTCAATTATTCGTTGAAAACTCCCTACTTTTGTTGATGTTTGGGATCGACATAAACTTATCACCTCCTTTTTGATTCGACGGCTTTGACTGATTTTACGGTTTCATCTTTAGAATAAAATTGTTTCGTTACCACCTGTATATTAGTACACTCCCTTTTCTTCACTCCAACTTATCGCCTCGCTCCGGGCCACCATCGCTAAGCTCTAACTCCTTTTAGTAATCGCCGTGGTTAGATGACTCGCCTATCGCACTGCATAGTCTGCCCAAAAGCCAGCTAGTACATCGGTAGCGTTGCAAGGATTGCTGATCGACTGTCCGATACAATTTGCCTTACTATAGAACGTTCAATCAGATATTTATCTTGTACAGATTATCACCTTGTTTGTTATAGACGAATACTGATAGTGCTCATACAATTAGATCACGTTCACAATAGGTAAATGCCACTCTATTGTGTATTTTTGTGTATTAGTTCCTTGTAGGCATATGTTTATATGAAACCAATTCTAGTATTCTGAATTGTACAGCATCATAGTTTTATCAGGTTGTTGCATTATAAATGTCGCACCAGATTGAGCTTCACTCCAATCAGCTGTGTCCGAACATCCAGAGGTACTTAAAGGAATCTTCCGCAGAAAAAGCTCCGCCTTAGGCCCCTAGCCTCATGAGCATAGCAAAAAGAACGGAACATAAGTGTTAGTTTCGATAATACTAATCCTACACACAAGACAAAATGATCACTCTTTCCGTGGAAGATTCCTTTGAGGTATCGTTTTCTGTGGTAATGAGGGCGGAGCTTTTTCCGTGGAGGATTCCTTTAGGCGTCCCATTCGAAACAGGAAACCAAGAATCTAAAGGCCGATGTCAGACTTTGCGAATCGCGCGATTCGCTAGCGTCTGCGGTCGCGTCGCGGCCAGTGAATCACTCAACTGGCTGGTACCTGCAACGCGACCGCGGACGCTAGCGAATCGCGCGATTCGCAAAGTCTGACATCGGCCTTAATACCCACCTTCCTTGTTGTCCCCATATCATTTTTTTACTAGGAATTTTTTCCTTAAAACGATTGACTGACCGAAATTTCCTGTATACGCCGTAAATGTTGCCATACAACTTGAAGGGATGCCCCATTTAGCCTGTACATGGTCAAGCAGTCCTTTGTAAATTCAAAAATCGACTCTACATGAAACCCTGCATTGAGCCAGCTGCGAGAAGGGAATGACGATGTTCTTATTTTTGCCCCCCCCCCTCTGTACAATGTATCTTCACAAGTACCACACAACACAAACTAAACACACCACATCATAGAAGCAGAGAATCATACAAGCATCAATATGGCCATAACTGACCCTAAATTATGTCCAGATCATAAGCAATTCTTCGGTTTTGTGGCAGAAGTTACCCATACGTAGTCAAACACTTGCGCTTCCGTTCGCAACAGCAAAACCCATCCCCACTTGCTGACCGAGGCTTCATTAGACAACCAATACCCAGTCATCATAGCAGTGAATGCTAAGCCATGAACTTCCTGAACTCAGTTCTCGCTAATGCAAACAGCTTAGAATTGCCTCAAACTTATTTATTTATTTATTTATTATTGCGCTTCAGGGTGCGTCTAAGACAATCGACGTGGTATAATTACAAAGTTGACTGCTAGATAAATTCTTATTTTAACACACACGCCAGAGATTAGCTACCTAACTAAATAAATAGAGTGTGACCGTTAGAAATAATGCGTTTGTCAGCATTGGTGACCCTTGAAAATGAATGTGAATGAGAAGCTTCCTTGATGAATTCACCTCCTACCTACAAATTAATGAGAATAATGGATTGATGCAACATCTCATATCGTATAAGAGATTAAAAGGCAAACTCCGGGATAAAACGAGGTACTCACCTGTTCGAGTATGGAGTGTTGGGTGCTAAGTTGATCGAAGGTAATGAAAGAAGCAGGAAATACCTCCAACGAACTCCAAAATTAGAAATTCCTCTTCGTTAGTCGCTTACGAACCAGGGCTGGGAAAATTACGCGTTTGGACATGTCTACAGCAACTGTTGGCTTTGTGCCATCAACCGACACGGCCAACAATGAAAACTGATTTTCTTCTAGTTTCCCTATTTTTTCTATTTTTCAGTGCTTTTTTCCGTTTTCTTCCTATCTTAAAATTTTTTCTTCTCACTAGGATCATACCAGCGTTCTCGAAAATGGTCGTAACATAGGCTTTGATATTGATTCTCGCAGTTGAAATCCGCTAAGTATTCCCCTACGACTTTCCAAACAACGGCTTAACATCTAGCGTTCCAGGTGGTTGTTTGGAAGATCACGTAGGACGGTGGGCGGGCTCAATGGGGTTGGGGCGGCGCCAATGCTCCAACCTAGGCTCCTAGCGCCTAAACCTTATCAAAACGCCCCGCCACTTCTGCACATGGTCTGCCCTTGCGTACTGCTGCATATTTGACGGGGAAAACCTCCAAATTTCGCCAGAAATCCCGAACTTTGCCTTTACATAAAGTGGAGGGGCGTGGTCGGTCTCGACAACGCAACTAACACAGGTTATTCCAGGGCGGGCCAAAGTAGCTGCCTTTTTAATCTAAACATAAACCCAGGCGTAAGACCAGAAATATACGAAGTTATTACGATTACTTACTTGGATTACTTGGCGACCCGTTATCAGCGATTGTTCTTGCGCGGGTCCCAACTTCTTTTCCACGATGTTCTATCTTGAGCCAATTGTCGTCCAATTGAACTAATTCCTTAAAGGCACGAGTCAGGCTTGATGGACCAAACCAATCCCTTTTGTCGTCTTTGTGCATGGCTGCGCACCCACAGAGACGTTACCATGCTCAGAATCCCAAACGGCGCCGTAATAAGGCTCCAGGGCACGTATTAAGCGCTTTCGCCGCCTGGCGGCGCTCCGACCGCCCACCTCCGGAAGTGGTGCGTGGCTGGCATAACGTGTGAAATCAGCTAGGTTGATTGCCGTATCAACCGATAGAACGACTGACATCTCCAGAAAACTTGTTTGTACGTGCCTCTTTCCCAAGCCAGCCTCCTTCACTGCTAGTGGGAAAGAGGGTTTTGTTAACGGCCTTGTCGACGGTTTTTCTCAGTTTTTCTCCACTGTCGTTCCACTTCGCATCTCTATACTCAGTTTCAATCGCCATAATACCCCCTTATTGAGCCCGACTTTTGCCTTTAACGAAATTGAATGGACTAATACCTTAATTGAATTAGAATCGCAAATATTGTTTCTGTGAGCAAGAGAGTCTTGCCATCGCAGAGGGGGCCGACCGCGAGGTCGTTTCCTGTCGCGAGGTTCCCAGCGCACAGTTGTAGTGCTCCAACGTCCGTCGTCTCGCCTAATAAGATGTCCAGCAAAAGTGTGTTTTGCCTTGTCGATATGCAAAATGGTATGATTTTGATGTATCGATTTTTTTACTTTATGTCACTTCACTTTGAGCACCAAATAAATAGAATCTTTTTATTGCAACAGAAGAGAAAATGCGCATGAGAACTCGCTATTTTAAATGTCAGGCGCAACAGATGAAACGAAACACGATATGTGGGATCCGAGTATTATAACAAAAACATGGTCGTGCTATGAAGATGTCGTTGAGCAGAGCTATTATTGATTGAAAAAATAAATATAAACCGTAGCATTAGATATAAGTAGACAGACAGCGATGGATTAATGACAGTAGAAGTAGCGGTGGTTAAGGCACAAGCTCAAGAGGTACGACCTCCTGGGAACGTCCAGGTTCCTGGACAACCTGGTGTGTGTATGTGTGTGTGGGAAGATGCTTCCTTGACTATAAGATGCGACAAACGATATGTGTGATGGCTGGTTTAGTATGAAAAACGAGAGCGAGCTTCAAGAAGATTATTTACAATCGAACAAATAAAAAAGACGGCAGGCTGAGCTGCAGGCGAGAACGATTGGGAAAGATTTTGTTATTTTGAATGAAAAGAAAGCTCTCCTGATTCTATAGTGAAAGCCGAATTTCAAATTGAACAATAGGCAGAAGTTCAAAAAACATATCCTAAGTTCCTGGTTCTGTTTGAACTAAACATCAGCTTTCGCTTTCAAATCGGAACTCTTATGCTCTTCTGAATCGAACAAGAGTAGGTTTGATAAAGTAGGCGACGATCAGCCAAGGCAAGGATCTACTGCTCAGGTGAAGCTCCGCGATCATATCGAGCCTTGTTCAGATTCGCGAGACGTTCTCTTGCATGAACGAGCTCTTTCTCCTTGCGGAGGACTTGTTCTTGAGCGTCCATCACCTAAAATCGGGACAGTAAACTGACTGGCAGTGAGCCGTAAAAAAGGGTCGAAAAATGCAACACATGACAAAAAATACGAACAATTTTCGAAAGCTGTGGACTCTATTATAGGAGACAAATCCTCGCAAGGATTGGTGAGTCAGTGCTTGCCTCTTCAGGAAAGAATATGCGCATAGAGGCTCAGGGAAAACTGGACGCTAACAATAGTTAAAAACTTTGTCCTCGCTTCATCATAAGCGCCTAGACCAGATTGACACTGGAAACTGTCATATTACCCACAGATCAAAACTGAGGACGCGAACTGCAAGCTAAGGAGTTCCGGCACAAGCTAACCATTCTGACGGACGAAAAAGCCTCGATTCCGGAGAAACGATAGGAATCGGCATCTGGCGCTACGGCTACTACTGCCCTGCCAGCTTTTATGGGGATAGTGTTCGAATACTTTTTACATCCGTCCTTCAGACTCAGACGTGCGAACCTACTTCTCATCTACTACGTACGCATTCGGGAAGTCCTATACAGAACGATTGGCAGAAGGAGGCAGGTAAGTAGGGTAGCAGTAGAACATACATGTGGGTAATGCAAAAGCAGAAGTGCTAGGGGAAAAACAACACTGCTCACCTGAGCAATGCCAGTGACAAGTCGGTCTGAAATGACAATGTTGCGCTCGTCCTCAACCACGTTCTGTCGAGCCGAAGTGACAAGGCGCTCAGTGGCCGTCTGAAATGAATTTCATCTAAACATTTGAACAAATAATTGAAGCAATTCCACCGCTCTCACAAGCTAGTGGGGTCGGTGGCAATTCTACCGTTACCGGCAGGCCACGCTACCCTTCGGGGAGTCAATTTAGACCAATATACATAGATAATCAGTCGAGACGCCACGATTATCAATGCATATATGATATCAGTGCAAACGGGTCTCATTCAGGAAGGAGGTGGGATCTATGTGGTGCGACAGTTCATAATCCAATTTCTTGAAGAGGAGGGAAGCTCCAGGGTCGGCGTAAAAGCGAGTTCAAAATCACCCCGTAAATTTGCTCCCCTGCAGAAATTCGGATTTCTGTAGGTGGGAGTAGCTGTCGCACCACATCCCACCTTATTGGATGAGACTCTGTAAATTTTTTCAATTCAATAGGAAGAGCCAAGATCTAAGCGGCGGCTCACCTTGACAGCGTGTCCTGCAGCTTGAAGTCGTCGTCTTGCTTGGCTGTCCATATCGGCCTTGACATTACAAGCAACGAGCAGTTGAGCAGTTGATGCTGCCACCTACAGTAATGCACTCAATTGTAGGCAGATTAGACAGAGTTACCAGCCGGACGTACCTGCTTCGCAGCCGAAATGAGCTTCTCCTCACTTGCTTGACCTTGGACGAGAGCATTTGCTGCTTCACAAAGCTGATGAACAGCGGCAACAACGAAACGAGCAGCGCTGATCAACCCCTTAAATAAGGACCTCAAGTGATTTTCAATATAACCTGTGATCGATGATCACGGATAGGTAAATGCCTTGAGACCCACAAAATTGTTCTTATTTACAAGGAAATGCTTACAGTCTCTGAACTGCTGAAATTGGCAATGCTCCCCAAAACTATTTACAACCGTCTGAAGGCACATCCCTCGACCAGTTAGGAGGGGCTATGACGCTCAAATATGAAAGTAACGGAGCAAAGTGGGCCGCCAGTAAACGAAAACGCCGAAGAAGTCCCCGGATTAGGCTCCCTTTTTGATCAGAAGCGTAGGAAGTGGAAGAGAAAAATGGAATGTTCGGACGAGTTTCCCGACAAGCAGCTGATTTTTATGCTCCTACCGATAGGAGGTTACTTCAATCCAGCAGCGTATTCTACATAATATTTCTGAGAATCTTCGTGTTGGTGTCGCTGCGCCGACTGCTAGGCGCGGTCTGACCTCAGCGGGACTCAGCGGACTAGTGAAGGGTTTTGTTAGAGCCTTGCAAGTCATCTTAAACTATGACGCTAAAACGTTTTCTCAACACTCCACATTCAAAAGGTTGTTTGAACTCCTCCCAATGATGTGGCGACCAATAGTGACCGGGCCACTACGCACCTACATCCATGCGCCTTCCCTGGCCCGGCCCAGATGTCTACCTGTGCCCATGAAGGGTTTTTCAAAGGGTTGTCTCTTAGGCAAACGGAATTCTCATTGTGAAACAGTGACCACACCTAATGAAGGAACACAACAATTTTCTGTATACGATTCCTCTAACACATTGGCAACAGCGCAACGCGCAGGCGCGTCGAATTATCCGCGGATGACGCTCGTTCTGCTCGATTTATTTGGTATTTTTCATGTTCTCCTGCTGACTGTCTACGTAATCGGATCCGGTGAGTATGCAGTTTTACACCACTAGTAGAGCAATCATTGAAGGGCTAAAGATTTCTGAGAGATGATTCAAAAAAGATGCCGAGACGTGCCCATAGCGGGTTGTCGTCAATATATTAAGATGCAAGAACGGGTAAATCTAGACCTTTGTGGACCCTTCTAGCTACCCATTAAAGCAATTCATCCACCTAAATTTATCGTGGGATGTGCCTTTAAATTTTTTTGATATTTGACTTGAAATGACTACTTTTCTTTCAAAGGTAATAATGGAAAACCAACCTCAGACCACTGGTAGTCTTCACTGTGCTGTTGTGGATGCGACTCGAGACGGCCTGAAAGCTCTGAGATTAACCCTGAAACTCTGGCGTATCCGCCCTT